ATTTGTGTTGTTTTTTAGTTAGAAGTGTGGTTAGAGTGCGTTATGGCTTAAAAAAAAAAAAGAAGAAATATGAGTGTGTTGTTATGGGTCAGGTGACCTGAAGTGGTTGGGGGACCATTGATTTTGAAAAGTATGAAATATAAAGAGTAAATTACCCAGGGACATTTAGTGTTGAAAAATAGAAACTTCTAATCTGGCCACAAAGAAGCCAAGTAATAAAGGGAAAATTGCTGAGTAATACTCGCCCAAAATTAGAAGTGAATGTGCAATTCGCTGCGGTGGCAAAACGGAGCAGTCCTGTTTTGAAGTGAATGGAGGTGTCGTGTGAGGAGGAGGTTAACATTTCCACCTCCCTAGGGGTGGTGTGTCCCCATGTGGAATACTTCATTGGGCTTGGGTGACATTCCCAGCAAATAGGTGTTGGTAAGGGCAGGGAGAGCCAGTGAAAAAAGTGAGAAGGTTTGAGGTTTTTTTTTAACCTGCAAGAAAGAAAGAACGGGATATAATAGTTCATTAAGCGGTGAGCACTTTGGAGAGCACATACTTTGTGTGTATAGAAGAAAGCCATGGTGTGTTAGTAGTACAAACAGCAGTAATGACAAGAAATATGGATGGGAGGGGGGGAAATGTAATTGATTGTCATAATAACTATTATATCAGAATATAATAGACAAAAAAAGACTTGTGGAAGCTGTGTTACACAAGAGGCTTTAAAATGAAACTGGTCAATGGTACTCTGTAGGAAAACTCCAACAAAATGTGCTACAGGAAGGAATCCTGCTCCTACCAGGGGAGTGGGCTGGCTGAATTAATAGGTCGTTTTCCTTGGGAGGAGGATGGGGAGGGATATGTCTCTTTCACAAAGACAAGATTGTGATAAGCTCTTTAAAAGCTTCCCCCCCCCCCTTCTTTCATGAATATAATCAGCACTCAGGAATTAAAAAATGGATGTCTATGAACAATACAGTGCTGCGCTTGACAAAGTATGATATTTTTTTCTGGTTCAGTTAGTCCTCAGTAATAAAACATGAGAGTAATACCACACAATGGTTGACACCTGTCCTCAAACTGTTACAGTGCTTGGTAAGTGCTGCCAAGAAGTCTAAAAATAAAACTTACCTCCCTTGCCTCCCCTCCCCCTCCATCAGTGATTGCAGTTTGGATTTTCTGAGGTCTATTAAGGAGGCAAATAAACTTCCATGTAAAATGTGGGTTATGACTTGCCTTTTGATCTGGAAACTTAATGCACACGATAGCAATATGAAAGCGTTGAAATATATAGCATTCTGTGTGCATCGCACTTCTTGGAAAATTTATTTGCTTTCCACTTTTTTTCAAGGTAAGAAAACGGATGTTTTCTCAAGGTTAAATGGCTTGTCCACTACTTGTGTCTCTCTTGATAGACCCAGTTTTATTTATGTTTAAATGTTGAAGTCAGTGATGATAAGTTTACAACAGTACACTTAAATTATTTCTTAAGCTGGATTTTTTGGGGCATTTTTTCTGTAGGCAAGAGACAACCTTAATATTTGAGTGCAAAATTTTATTTTATTTTTTTTTTTATTAAATCTGGTGGAAGTTCCACACTCACTGTTCAAAACCTCCTATCTAATGAGAACCAGAGTACGGTACATGACCTGTTTGTGCGTCGAGTCAATACTTGACGTGTAAAGCGCTGAGAAAACACACGTGTAGTGTGAGCGCGGCTGTTCCGACCGCCTTCTTTCCACGCCTTAAAGTGTTTTGTTGCTTGTGTTTAACCACAGGGCAGTCCGATGGATCCGATGGTCATGAAGAGGCCCCAGTTGTACGGCATGGGCAATAACCCGCACACTCAGGCGCAGCAGAGCAGCCCCTACCCGGGACAGTCCTACGGCCCTCCCGGCCCCCAGCGCTACCCAGTGGGAATGCAGGGCCGGGCCCCGGCAGCCATGGGAGGAATGCAGTATCCACAGCAACAGGTTGGTGGAGGATTATTTCTTTTCATTTTATTTTTTTTTCTGCATTGCTTTGGTTTCCCTCCTTTCCTTCTCTTCCCTTCTGGCGCTGTGGTAGTAGAGAGGGCGCAAGAAAAAAGATGCGGAAAGAAGTATTACACGTGCAGAAAGAGGGTGAAGGACTGTTTTAAAAGAGAGTATGTTGACAGCGTCATTGTTCTCTGAAACCCCATACAGTTAGAAGAGAGTAGTTTGCTCGTATCTTCTCAGAGAAAGAAGCATGTCAAACACCATCAGTTTTCTTTTTTTTTCCCAGTTGACATAATTTAGCCTTCTTTTATATATATATATATATGAAATACATATAGTAATTTTCTCTCTTTCTAGCTTAGCTATGTTGAAATATAAGATGAAAACCTAGACCTGTCATCGGTGCAGCAAAACTGGTGTTGCGCAGTGCATGCAAGTGTGTTACATATTTATATCAGCTGTTTGTTGCTGGATTTTGGTTTCTTTTTTTTTTTCCTCTCTCCCCCTTTTGAAAGGAACTTGTAGCTTTTCCTAATGATGCCCTTTACCAGCTCTTTAATGTTAGGATATTTTGTGTGTGTGTGTGTGTCAGAGGACATAGAGCTGTAAAAATCTCCTTTTATCTACTTCGATTTCACAGTTGATGGTGACCTCTTCTGCCTTTTTCTTACCCTTTTAAAGAAGGTCAAATCCAATGTTTGTACCACATACTAAGGAAGATACAATAGTTTTCTAGAGGTGGGGATAAACCAAGGTTACCAAGAAGTTATGTTTTACTGTTGTGGGTTTTGTTTTGCCTTTTTTTTTTTAAATTTGGAATATGACTGTAGGCAATGGGAACTCTATACTTAGTGAGTGCAAGAGTAATAACTTGGTTATAATGGGAAGGAACATTTGTTCTATGCAGCTGATTAATTGCAGATTAGCTTTTATTTTTATGTCATTTATTGTTAAATATAGAGAAGAAAATTTTGGATTTCCTGGCAGATAGATGTCTGTCTATTTGTTGTTATCACCTATCCACCAGGACAGGATATAAATCAGGTAGTTAATTAAACAGTTTCAAATATAGTAGTTGGATGAATAATACTATTATCAGTGGTCTTCATTTTTATTCTTTTCTGTTGTTAAATAGTTAGTTACTTAAAAGGAAGAGATTGTTTAGTTTAGAAATGTCAAACTGTGTTAGGTTGCTAGATTCAGACAGCAAAGCATTTTGTAAGTTTTAAAAGGAGGAGAAATAAAAAAAAAGAGAGACTTATATTTCTCTGTGTGACTGTAGCCAAAATGAAGTTATTAAAACATATTTTTAATTTTAAAATGAGTTATTCTGTCTTATGTGGAGATGAGTGTTGAATTTTCACTTCATTTGCTAATTGCTTGATAATTGTAAATTACCCGTCAGCAGGCAGTGACCTGGCACAGCGATTGGCTGCCAGCCCTATCCGTCTTCTCACAGCATTAATATAATTGGCTGAGCAGCAGCACGGTTCTAAGCACTAATGCTCTTTGGGGAAAAAGTGAGAGGATAATTATGACATTGAATTTTTATTGAACGGACATCACCACCTAGGCATGATTTTGTTTTGGACAGCCTCCAAAGCTTCGTGTGTTTGGTTTGTGAACCTCTAATGATCTGAATCCAGTTCTTTTCATATTGCTCATATATTACCACCTTTCTACAAAGGATTAAAATGCAAAAAGGTTTGTAAATTGAATTGCCAACTTACCAGCTGAGTGGTAAGTTGTCTTTGGCACAGGATGCCACAGTTTGATTCCTGGCTGGATTTTTACTCCTGTGACATGAATATTAAATACGGAGAGCCTAGCTACACTTGTTAAAATTGGCTGTGTAGCATGTACCTACTTCTAGATATAATATATATAAAGTAAATATTGCCAAAAGTTTCAGAAGATGAATCTCAGCACTTCCTGGAAATTGGAGTGCTTTACAGTGTCAGATTGAATTTATCAAAAGCGCAAGACATTTCTGAAGACTTGATTGGTTAGAAAATACTGGGCCTTATGTGTAGTGCTCTGATTTAAGTATTGTGCAGAGAGAGCACTGGGTGGATGGCTTATGAGGGTGGAGGTGCCACACTATAGGAATGATGGGAAACATCAACGGGAGAGGTTGTTCTTATTTTAAGTTATAATCTCTTGTTGCCCAAAGATAGTCAAAGGTGTCAATTTTGTTTTACTGGACGAAATGAGCAGGCTTTTTGTTAGACTGTGAAGATTTTAAAATTTTGAAGAAGCCCTTGAAACATTACGTCTGGCTCTTTGTCAGCAAGTGTTGTGACTTGAGGTTAGAACTATAGGACTTGAGAGAATTTAACTTGGAGGCTCTACTGCTGCGAATGCATGAAATCCATCTATAGGATGCTGCAAATGAAGAAATAAAGATGAAACGTAACACCCTAAAGATCTAACTGAAATTAATGGAAATGGTAGAAATGAAGATAATTGCCTAGATGTAGGTAGCTGGTCTACGTCATATTGCAGCAGAGAATAGTGTGTTCCAGCCCGTGGCCCAGAGGTGGAAGAGCTTGCTGTGGGAAAAGAGGCCTCTGGCATAAGCAGTGAAAGATTAAAGAGGATGAAAAAGATGAAATGTTACCAGGTGCAGTCATTCTGCATATCTGCAGCATGGGTGTCAAGCGTAACCTGCTAACCTGTTGAAAAAGTGATATCTACCTAACGCTGCAGACATTCTCTTAGAGCTGCTGTTTGATCTAGGCATGCTTGATACCCAACAGGAAGGTGCAAGTAAAACCCCAGATTTTCTTAATGTTCTGTGTGGAAATCACAGGATGTTCAAGAGAGTACACAGAGCTATGGGCTATGATCTGTGACGCAGCTGCAAAAGATGCTGTGAAGAGAAACCAGGTCTCCTAAGCATTTGGGCTTGGAACTCATCTCATGAGTTATCAATTACAAGCCCCAGAACAAAACAGGAAGCCTTATTTGTATAAGGGGCAAAAGTTGAAACGCAGACAATCCTTTTGCGTTACTCACTAATAGAACTAAAGATAAAGGGCTTGAGGTATATATGTAGGCATGTAGGAAAGTGGCAAAGCTGTCATGAGGCTAATGGTAACCTGAGGTTTTCTCTTTCTTCTCCAAAGCTTGACAATGGAGATCAGATTTATCACGTGAAGATGGGTGATAGCTTGTTGGGACAAAATGCTAGACAATTTGACGAATGCCTCAGCATTTTGTCAAATTCTTAGGGCGTGTCCAATTAACTCAGTGTGACACCAATACATATATAAAGCGTTTGGATTGATTTGGAAAAAAAATATTTTAGTGGGCTAGGAGATTAAAAACCAAACTATTCTACCCCTGTATAAATGGAGAAGTATAGAAAGGAAGGTGTTACTAAAAGAGTCATATACTTAATTTATACGATTGTAAACTCTACAGTTTGTCTCTTTGGTCAGTAGACATAAATGTGTGTGGTGAATGAGCTACTTACAAAGCAGTTTTTATGTTTTTAGGAAAAATTAAGGTTTTCATCTCTTTCTTGTTCTTTCAGTGGGAAAGCTTAGGAGCAAGGTGACCTGTGCCTGTGTCGTTTTCGACATGATTAAAACACAAGTTGCAGCAAGGCCAATGTTTGTCTCCCAAGGTTTTAAAACACTGGCCTTGCTTGTAAATCTTTAATACTGCTATCTCATGAGCTCATGTGCTTTCTCTCCTGATTTGCATAAAATGAATGTAATTTTAGAATTATTAACACTCCTTACCCAGGACTTCAGGGAGCTCGCAGTACGTTTATGTTTTCCTGCATTCTTTTTTCACACTTCCAGGTTTAACTTCTAGTTTCTAATCGCTTAGATATTTCTTGGAGTTACAGAGAGTTGATGTCAAAATTGAAAGTTTGAATGTACAGGGATACTTAGCACCTGCAAACTTCAAGCTTGATTTTGCAGTATGTTTCACTATAGTGTGGGTAATAAGATTTGATTATAAAGACAATTTCTCTTAACTTCTTTTGCTCCCTCCCCACCTCTTTCAGACCTCAATAAAGCGAGTGATGATGCTCTAATCATTTTCTGGGTTTGGTTCAATTGCTCTGTTGAAGTATTTCTGTGGTTTAGTGCTGAGTGCTGTAGGAAAGCCTTCTGTTACTTTGTAAAAGTATTTTTGCTAAAATGAGAAATACTTTGGAGTACCTCTTAAAATAAGCTTTTTCTGCTGTTGTCTCATGGTGTTTGTTTTTTCATATTAATAGCATGTAATACTTTATATTGTGCTGAATTTCACTGAGCTTAAAAATCAGCTTCTTGAAATAACTGCATATGGATTTTGGAAGTTTACAGCAAAGTTTGAAGGCTTAGATTTATGAATATGTTTGAAAGACCTGAATGGTGCAATGTGCCTTTTTAATCAGATGATCATTGTTAATTGATTTCTTTTTAGGATGCATTAAAATTTCTTGTGTACTTGATGGGCTGGAACAGCAACTTACTGTGTATATAGGGTTATGTTGCTATAATGCATAGTAAATTCTTCATGAAAGATAGTTGTGTGGATATGTACAACAGCCATTCCTAGAAGGTGTTTAAAATGGAGTTTTTCAGTACTTTTTCATTTCGGTACTGATCATGCAGTTAGTTGTCGTAGTGCCTTGAGCCTGCTTGCAGTTAGTCAGTTATAAGACTTGAGTCTTGGTCTATTCTTTCTCCCTGTTTAGCTGTAGAAATACTGTGAGATGAATGGGTACTAATTACTTACCACTTTTAACTTTTTTTTTTTATGTTCTTGTTTTCCAGAATTGAAAAATTCAATTCTCAGTTTCCTCATAATTTTGAGAGTGGAACTGTAAATATTCAAAGAAACATTTTTCCTCTTTCCCCACCTTTTTAATGTACAGGTTATTTTGAGCATTAAGGAAAGTATGCTGCTTTTTTTTTTTTTAAAAAAAAGTCTTATGAAACAGGTTTCAACTTGGAGTAACTTTTGTTTAAAGGAGCAGAGAAGTTGGAAAA